TCTCTCTCTCGTGCATGCATTCTCTTTCTCTCTCATGAGTACACTTATCCTCTAGAGAGCTTTCTTTAAAACGAACAGAAAACCCTGTTAGTGATGTACACTTCTCTTCAGTTCTCCCTATGTCTCTCTCTCCCATAGAAGAAATACGTCTACAAATAAAATATAAAGCAAACACTAAGTCCCATAGAGACTGACAGCCTCTAGGATCTTATTTCAGTGTTTCTTACATTAAACCGTTTTATCTACCACTGTTTTTCATTTCTGCCTCTTTAAAAAAAGTTGTTCTTTTTTTTTTAAAAAAAAAAAAAAGAATTAACATTGGGGCCAGTAGGAGGTGTGGTGGCTAAGGCACTGGACTCCCACATGGCTAACCATAGTTCGAGTCCCAGACATGGTGGCTTCCTTTCTTACTTACCTCTCTCTCTCTCGCTCTCGCTCTCTCTTCTCTCTGGTGAGCACATGAGCCCTGTATCAAATTTTATAATAATAATAATGATGATGATGATAATGATAAATAAAATAAAATTCTTTTTTTTAAAAAAAGGGGAATGAGCATTAAAATCAAGACAGGAGGCTTCTGATCAGAATATTATCAGGGATGATTTCTCACTTTCCATCTCTCTGTCTCTCCAGCAAGTGCATGTACCCTATAGAAAAAAAATTTTTCTCAAAAAAAAATTTTAAATAAAACTCAGATTGATTTTTCATGATAGAAAATACGTGTACACATATGTGAGAAAGAGACAGACAGACAGACAGACACCCTTGACAAAGTCTCTCCATATCACCATCTCCTTCCCCAGTCCATCAGTCCCTCAGGCTGTTGCATGACTGCACACACACCCAGCATATTCTAGGTCAACTGGGGATTCGAACTTACAGTTGACCATCTGGCTCTCAGCTCTGCAATTCAGCATTCTACCCCCTGCACCACTAAGGCTGGGCTCTCAGTTTTTATTCTAATTATCATTAGCCTTTAATCTTTTAAAATTCATAGTCTTTCGGGTATCATTTCTCCAAAGTTCTATATTTCTATGATAGCACTGATGATACGAAAACACTTTTCAGGCAACTCACGGATCTTCCCACCAAACTACTACTTAATTGAGAACTATCTTCATCTTTCATGACTTTGCCCATCCTGAAGAAAGAGCTTGGCACCTGGAAGGCACTAGAATAATAACTGCTGGACTAAACACAGCTATTTAAGGTAACTTAACAGACTTCCACTAGTCTACCACAGTGAACCCCCCCTGCATAATATAACATTTCTGGCCATTTCTGGTTACTGTAGAATTTGCGAGGACAACAGGAGGAAGATCTATCATCTACGAGAAAGCACAGGGCTGGGTAAAAGTAGCATGTACTTTGACTCTGTATTCTTTATATAAATGAAAACTTCTATGAATGGATTTCAGTGATAACACTGAACAAAAAAAAAGGAAAGAAAAAAAGAAAGAAAGAAAGAAAGAAAGAAAGAAAGAAAAAGAAAGAAAGAAAGAAAAAGAAAGGAAGGAAGGAAGGAAGGAAGGAAGAAAGAAAAAAAGAAAAAGAAAGAAAGAAAGAAAGAAAGAAAGAAAGAAAGAAAGAAAGAAAGAAAGAAAAAAGCAAGCAAGCTAATATTAAAGAATCCTGCAAATGTTTTAGTGAGGATGAAGCAGGGCGGTGACCACAGGTAATAGTAACCAGCTTCCGATCAGTGTTTATTCACTGAGAGCTTTGAGAGCTTCATGTCCTTTAGACAGTTTTCAGTGCTGGCTGCTGACAAGAGATTTTCTGCTTCTTTTCCTCTCTCATCCAATTCAGTGATTCTACTGTAGCCCTAGATGTCTGGTCCTTTTGAAGGGCTGAAAAGTGGGAGGCAAAGAGCAAGAATTGGGGAAATAATTCCAATTTGTGATTGGAGTGAAGAGGCTCCTCTTCCGTCTGAAGAGGATTCTCATGGGAGAAGGGAGAACGGACGAGGAATATGTCGTTTTTTGCTTATTTGTTTTTCTCAGTTGATTTGAATACAAGTTTTCTAAACTCTTTTCATCTCATATCAGCATATTCTATCACATGATTGAAATTAAGTTCATTCCAATCTCTCTTCTTCAGCTAGGAGAGAGAGCAGTTTCTGGACATTCCAATAAGCAAGTTTTCATTCCACAGTGCCTAGATAGTGTCCATGAGAAAAGACACGCATTGTTTTTTGCAAATCTTTTCTAGAGAATCCCAGAATCTCTTTAACTTCAGCAATTTTTCCCATTCAGTCAGGGAAGTAGATCTCAGGGGAGAAGCAGGTCTGATCTTCTTGAAAAGTTCTAGAAGAATAAACAAAGCATTTAAAGTCCCAAAGTTCTGTGGTTCGGTATCTGCCTTCATTAGTCACCTAGGGATCCCCACGCAGTTAAAGGTTCTTTTTCCTGAGATTTCTTTTGAGTGGGGAAAGATGCAGACTCTGTGAGACTCACGGTTCTTGAGCCCCCACCAAATTGTGCTGGTCAGAGACCTCTCAGGTCTTCACGCAATTATGAGAGGAGCATCTTCAAGCAGTCCCAGAAGGTGGCCTTTACCTTGGTCCCGACACAGGCTGAGGTTGCTTCTGTTCCTCAGCATTGTAGTTTGGCATTGTAGTTTGTCAGAGGACTTTCTAAATTAACTGTACATTTAAATTCCTGAGGATTTCTTGAAGTATAGTAGAGGTGTTGCCAATGCAAAGTGTAAATATCATATTTCACTTTTTTAAAAAGCAGTCCCAGAAGGTGGCCTTTACCTTGGTCCCGACACAGGCTGAGGTTGCTTCTGTTCCTCAGCATTGTAGTTTGGCATTGTAGTTTGTCAGAGGACTTTCTAAATTAACTGTACATTTAAATTCCTGAGGATTTCTTGAAGTATAGTAGAGGTGTTGCCAATGCAAAGTGTAAATATCATATTTCACTTTTTTAAAAATATTTAACTTTAGGGAACCAGCAGTTAGCGTAATGGCTGTGTCGCTGGACTCCCATGTAGTGGACCGTGGTTCGAGTCCCGAACCTGGTGGCTTAAAACTCACGCCGGGTGCGTGTGCGTGCATGCCCAAGATCCAGAGAGGAGAATGGAGGAGAAGGGATTGCGGTGTGACCATCCCCCCTGAGGGGTGATTTCTCGCTTTCTGTCTCTATGTCTCTCTCTGTCTGTCTGGCGAGCGCACGCGCCCTATAGCAAAAACCTCTCCAAAAAAAAAAAAAATATATATATAACTTTAAAAGTGTACTTAAAGTTACAGCAGGTAGTAAGCTTCTCTTTCCTCCCTCCTTTTGCCATGGCTCTTCCCCTTCCTTTTGTTTTGAATTTATTTATTCCATGAGTGAGAGACGGAGAGAGACAGATAGACAGAGGGACAGAGGGACAGTGTCCATACAGGGTCCTGACACCAGGATTCAGCTCTAGCCGGTCTTTATCATGGGCACAGCAGCATGATGTACTCAGATAGGACTCCAGGTTTGAACCGGCAACCTTCCCATACAGGACTGGACATGGCTTTTCAGCAGTGCACCACTCTCTGGTCCCAGATCGTCACTTCCCAACCTTGCATTGTGGGAAACTTAAACTAGCAGATTCTTGAGTTTCAGGCAACTCGTGGCTGCTGAAGTTGGTGACAATCCTTGTACAGGTTTCATTTTCTCAGAGTCCAATCAAGCAAAACATTTTCCCTTTGGTTATCATGAACTAACTGCTCAACCTTGCACCACTGATGCACATAAGCCCATTTATTTGCAGAGAAGAAATTATATCCTGTCTATAATGACACTCAGTGCTTACTTCTCATAATAAGGTCTTGTGCACTGGTTTTTACAAAACACTGCTTGAGCCAAAAATGCCCTCCTTTTCACTCTAAGTCAGGACAGTACATCTCAAGCTGTGCTTCCTCCCACGCAGCTAATCTCGGAGGGTATCCGTGGGGGAAAATGCTAACAGATGGACAAGTTTTTTGTTGATGGTGTTTGTCTTTCATTTTAAGTAGGAGTACATTGTAATCTGTTGCAAAATAAAACCAAAACAACAGGGAGGAAAAAGCAACTAAGCACCTTTTTCTTCCCCGGATGGGCTGCATGCATCTTTCTTATGTGTGCTTTCGAGTGCTATTTCAGCTTTTCTTGCAGAGGTCAGCAGTAGGTCGTTTATGGAGTGTTGGCAATTTGTATAGGTGCTTTCTAGAGTCCGTCCCTGTCCACTGGACTCCAAACACAAATGAAAATGGAAAACAGCCAAATGTAACGTGCAAAACGAAATGGCCAAAACACTTTTGAAAGCATCTGGTGTTAAAAAATTTATCGTACAGATCGATTTTTACAACTCACTTCTTGCTTTTATTTTTCTTTCCCTCTGTACACAAATTCATCACTTACTTTCTAAAGTGTATTTTGAAGTGAGCCATCTTGATTTCATCATGGGATGTGAAATAGGTAGACCAAGGTTTATAACCTCACTGAAGATATTGGTCTCCTGGTAGAAAACCAGACTTTATTTTATTAACCCTTCACAGAAACCAGAACGGCATTGGCACAAATGCCTACACAAGGAGACTTCAAAACATGAATTAAAAAATGGGTAAAAGGGGACCAGCAGTTAGCATAATGGCTATGTCTCTGGACTCCCACGTAGTTGACTGTGGTTCGCGTCCCGGACCCGGTGGCTTAAACTTGCTCCGGGCACGTGTGCGTGCGTGCCCAAGATCCCGAGAGGAGAATGGAGGAGAAGGGATTGTGGCGTGGCCATCCCCCCTGGGGGGTGATTTCCTGTGTTTTGTCTCTCTGTCTCTCTCTCTCTGTCTGTCTGGCGAGTGCACGCACCCTATAGCAAAAACCTCTCCAAAAATAAAAGAAAAAAAAATGGGTAAAAGTACGATTTTACTTGGGTGCAAAACATTTTGAAATTCATGCATAGTTTTTTTTTTTTATAATATCCGTTTCCCAGGAACTTTTTGAAGATCCTTCATATATACACAGTAAATTGAATGCCATTCGTTACTGAAGAAAAACAAGATCACTTGCCTTATATGAACGATACAGGTGAAAAGCTTTCCAGACATAAAGGAAAGTCGTTGGCGCAGAGGAGGTAGGTGAATGTGTGGATTCTGCTAAAGAGTTGTTCATCCAAATAAGTTTCCCCACACAACTAGAGGCCATGGACGAGACTGAGAGGACTCACGTGATTTGCTATTAGGTTTTTAAAATTTGGCAAGAGAGTTCTTGCACTTGCCAGAGAGAGAGAGGTGAGAAAACATTAATGGTCATGCTTCAATCCCTTCTCCTCCTTTTCTCCTTTCTTTTGAGAGTTTTAGCACATATTTACATGCACTTGGTATATTTCTTAAGCTGCTGAGTCTGGAACTCGAACCATGGTGGTCCACTAAGTGGGATCCAGCTTCTTTAACCTCCAGGCCAGTCTGATCTGCCATTAGTATTAATACTGGCAACAAAGAAAACAATGAACTGGTAAATCTGGGTTTTATCTAGCTATACATTTAGATTATTATTTGAACAACTCATGAAATCATAAATGTATAGTGAAAGTTATAGACAGGGTTATGATACCATCACGTTCATAATCTTATTAGAAGTTGCAGAAGTTGTAGAGATCTTCATTTTAATCTACTACTTTTTTTCTTGATTTACCAAAGGAAGCCAGATAAATTATTATTTTTTTAAATATAGAAGGTATTGGATCATTTCACGTAAAATGTCATAATCATAACGTTAGCTGATATTTATTGATTACTTACCATGTCGAAGATACTGTGCTGAACACCTCACTTATCTTATTCAAAAAACTTTACGTACTTTATAGTCCCATTTTATTATCCTTATTTATGAATGAGAAGATTACGAAACCTAGACAAAGTAGAAAGTAGACTTCAGAGGAGCACAGATTCTATTCAGTTTGATTGCAAAAGAAATTACAAGAGAACATTCTTAGATTTCCTTCAATACTGAAATAGAACAATGCTATATTGGATCTCTGAAAAGACTAAAGCCTTAAAGAAGAAATATGAAAATTGGTAAGAAATGACTTTGACCTACATATAGAATTAACTGCTGTGTCATTCACAATTTCAGGTCTCTGAACCAATAATTTCAAGTTTCCTCAGATCCATAGCATAAAATAAAATGCCCAGCACACTTTCAAGCACACATCAATACCCTATACAACTAAAACGTGTTTTATAAAGTAATACTTGGCCTCATTCAGGTTATACTTTTTGAGAATGTTTTCTTCTATTCTGTTGTATTTCATTTTCTTAAGAATTATTTTATTTAACTTTATTTATTTGTTTGTTTCAATTTAACCAGAGAACAAAAGAGAGAAAAAGTGAGAAAGCAAGCCACTAGGTCCAGGACTTGAACCGCAGTCAGCTATGTGAGAGGCCAGCGCCCTTTACCACCATGCCACCTGCTGGCCCCTGTTGTATTTTATTTTTAAAAAGTTTTCATCAATCCTAGCTTAAATAAACTGCATTATTTTATGGCCATAACTTTGAAAATTGTTGATGTGAACTTCAGAGGGCATTGTATCTTTGTCTGTTTTGAAAAGAACGCTTTGCTAGTAATCGTATTTTTTTTCTATCTTTAGGAAGAAAAACAATAAGGAGTGAAGTATATGGATATTTATAAAAGATGTTTTAATCTTTATAGGAAGTAAAGTAAGAGAATTATCTATACTGATTATACCTTATACCGAAGATAAGTGCTAGACTTCATACAAACAGATCAAATACATTCCAACCTACACATGGATATGATTGTATCTCTCCAGTTTAAAATTCATCCTTCTCTTCGTGTGACCTTTATAATACTTTGGCCCTGTTTTATGGAACACAGTCTTCATGCTCTTGTTCCTAACAACATGCCTAGTTTCATATTCCCCTCAAACTTCGCCCACCACTCAAACTATACAACATCCAGCTCCCACATGAGAATCTGCTACTGTCTCATGCCATGAGTATTTGCACATGCTTGTCCATCCCCCTAAAATGTCACTATTAAATCTCACCTCAAATGCTATCCATTCTGTGAAAATTTCTTTGAATTCTTTTAATCTCACATACCATATGTGTATCCTTCAATGTAAACATTTGTCTGAAGATATCACCATTTCCACTGTAAATTTCAAGGGAGGAGAAAGGACAGTAAGCTATTCTTGACCAACAATATTTTGCACCTGATCTTTAAAAATTAAATATAAATATCAACTAAATCTGTATTTTTTTGAGAGGTTTTTGCTATAGGGCGCGTGCGCTTGCCAGACAGACAGAGAGAGACAGAGAGACAGAAAGCGAGAAATCACCCCCCAGGGGGGATGGTCACGCCGCAATCCTTTCTCCTCCATTCTCCTCTCGAGATCTTGGGCATGCACGCACACGCGCCCGGCGTGAGTTTTAAGCCACCGGGTCCGGGACACGAACCATGGTTGACTACGTGGGAGTCCAGCGACACAGCCATTACGCTAACTGCTGGTTCCCTAAATCTGTATCTTTATCATGATAAATAAGTCATGATCTTATACACATGTTTCTTTAGATTTTCACACTTTATTATGACATTAGGCAATGAGATAAATAATATTCCAATTATAGGTATATTTTTTAAGTGATTAGGAGCTAGCAGCACATAAATCAATGGGTCACCGCAATTCACAATCTTCCAACCAGGCTTTTGCGTTTGGATTCATTAGTCGTGAGCCCCACCTTGATTTGCTGATGAATCCCTTGATTCGATATGTGATTATACTATTACCAAAGACCAGGATCTATAGCAAATAAGTCCTCAATAATTATAAAGATATGGCTTTAGAAAATGGAAGATTGCTTCCAGCCACAGCTGTGCAAGCAGCAAGGTGCCACTGCACCAGGCTGGGGTCATGTGGGAAGCCTGGGTTCAGTTCATGGACCAACCTGATCATGCCAGGGCAGTGGTGCATGATTGTGAGCCTAGCCAACTAGGATACCAAAGCAGAAGGATCATGGCACGGGGAGACCTGGTCAAAAAACCTATTTCTCTCATGAGGGAAATAAAAAGGAAAGAAAGGAAGAAAGAGACTCTAAAAAATAATCCTGGAATAATATCGAACTGCTGTTCAATACTGCAGTGTGTCTGCTGAGTGTGGGCCTGTGCCCCTTACAGCTGGTGCACACAGCCTCTGTCACTGTGAGCACTGGCTGGTATCTGCCGGTGCCTGCCTCTTTGTGGTGGAATTTCCATGGGCCAAACAGGAGGCTCCTCACCAGGGACATTATATTTCCCTGAGTGCTGAGGCAGCCTAAGCCCAAGAATGACTGACTATGTTGGTTCCCCCTTTCTGTAAGGTGGATGATGAGCCCCTGTGGTGTAAGGCCCTCCGAGCTTCACAATGGTCAGGCTGCCTCTAGACTCCACCTGAGATCATGTTTGGCTTGGTCCAGCTGTTCTGACCCCCAGCTCCCCATCACAGTCTCTGCTTCACATGTGCTCCCTATGCTTTAATTCCCAACATTATCCAAATAAATAATAAAGTGGTACATTTCCCTTCATTCTTGAAAAGACCATTGATTTTCACTTTACTATGTGATGTTTACTGCAAGCTTTGTTGCGGTGGTTTTCTTGAATAAGATTTTCTTGTATATGTGCAATTTATTTTTCCATGAAATTGACTTTGGTCTACTATAGAGCTTTTCTATGACATAGAGTAACAGGATAAAGAGAGAGCAACTGCCGTTCTATGTTTTTTTTAAGTAAAATAAATATAAGAATTGTTTACTTATTTGTTTTTCATTGACACAGGGAGATAGAGAGAAAGAAAGTGAGATAGAGAAAGAGAGATAGAGAGAAAGAGAGATAGAGAGAAAGAAAATGAGAAAGTAAGCCATTAAGTGTGGGACTCAACCCATGGTTAGTCATGAGGGAGTCCAGCACCTTAGCCACCATACCACCTGCTGGCCCTCAATTGCCCTTCTTAAAAACCATGTAACATCTTCTAATGATCATATAAACATGGTAAAAAAATGAATATACTTTTACTAAATAAGCCTTGGCAAGACTCCTCATCATAGCAGCCAGGCTTCAACTATGTAATTACCTACTGCCCCACACATGAATGGGTGGTATTCCTATTTTTTATTAAAAAAAAAAAAGAGATCTGCCTAGGCTCTCAAACAGCTTATACTTTTATACAGTTTTACTCTATTTTTGTCTGCAAAGTGCTTGGTTGAAAAGGATCTTAGTGTGAATAAACTTCTGCTTCACAGTTTTCAAAGCTCTTTTTGTGATAATGCCCTCTCTTTTTTGTCTAAAATGGAAAATTTAACAGCACACGTTCTCTGTTTTCACCCTTGTTGCAACCCCTCTCGAGGTGTAAGAGGCACAGAATACTCCCAGGAGTTTAATGTCAACAGAACATGAGCTCAGGGTGCTTAAATTCTGGTCTTGCATTCAGCTCTTCACTTTAAATGGCCGTCAAAGGTAGGCGTATCCATCACGCAGCCAGATGACCTCGGTCTATCTTCCAAGGGCCTTCCACACTGAAAATGGCATGACATCACTCAGAAAACAACCACATAAACAGAAGCCTATTTTAAATTAATATGGATAAACAGACAACCAGGAGAAAGATTTATCCCAATACTTGGCACAAGAATGGACAGAGAGGATGTTTTCATAAAAAAAAAATACAACTGGGACCAGCAATTAGCGTAATGGTTATGTTGCTGGACTCCCATGTAGTCAACCGCGGTTCGTGTCCCGGACCCGGTGACTTAAAAATTCACGCCGGGAATGTGCTCAAGATCCCAAGAGGAGAATGGAGGAGAAGGGATTGCAGCGTGGCCATCCCCCCGGGGGGTGGTTTCTCGCTTTCTGTCTCTCTGTCTGTCTCTGTCGATCTGGCGAGCACATGCATCCTATAGCAAAAACCTTTTCCCCCCAAAAAAATCCAACTCAAACGCATGCAAGTATTACTAAAAGGAGAATGAATAGTTATAGGCGTATAGTAGAACACTCTTAGCAATGGAAACCTGAGTGAGCCAGGCGTGTATTAGTAGAATGTTGACATTTTCCTCACACTGATGAGTATTTCCTAGAATAGTTCACACACGGCCACCTTCTGCCCCTCTCTGGGGTTCAGTCTAAGCTAGAATCCCTATGGCTTCCTTTCTTTCAAGTTCAAACACATCATTCTAAAAATTTACGTACTGTTGTTTCCAAAATTGTCCTTCAGTAATCACTTTTGGGGATTATTTCATTCCATCGGGAGCATTATATCATTATATAGCACTCTTTTAATTTTCCCAAAATCCTTCTTTCGGTTTACATTCATTGACTGGGTCACATATTTCCTAGGGCTAACTGTCATAGCCTTTGTAGTATTCACACTAGGAATATTAACACGATGAGTTTGTAGTAACTCTTCTACATGGCATATTGTGTTCTTATGGGATTTATATTGTCTTTTCTTTTTTTAGAGAGATTTTTACTATAAGGAGCATGCATTCACCATAGAGACAGAAACAGAGAGATTTAAAGCAAGAAATCACACCCCAGGGGGGGATGGCCACACTGCAATCCCTTCTCTTCCATTGTCCTCTTGGGATTTGGGGCATGTACACACATGCACCTGGCATGCATTTTTAGCCTCCTGGTCTGGAACTCGAACCACAGTCCACTACATGGGAGTACAACAATGTAAACATTATGCCACCTGCTGGCCCTGGGATGTGCATTTTCTATCACCAGCAATTTATTTCTTCCCAGCTACCCAATTTATTATAGAATACTTTACTTAAAAATATCACCAAGTCTTTGGCAAGGCAACCTAGCACAGAATTAGAGAATATTGGAAGTAAATGTATATTTATGGCTTATAATCACAATATCCTGTTTTTAAAAATGAAAGAACTAAAGACAAAGTTCTACTAGAGGCTTCTTTCTACTCAATACATCAAGACCTTTCTTTCCCATTGGCATATGTATTCATTGCGCTTCTCAAGTGTACAATTCAGTGGTATTTAAAGTTGTCACAGACCTGTGTAACTATCAAACAGCAAAGTCTGGGACTTGAACCGTGTAGTGGGCCACGTGGGATCCAGACACCTTAACCACCAGGCCAAAAACAGGCCTGCATTACGTAACTATCATCACTCTCTGTTTATATATTTTATTATCACCAAAGAAAAAGTTAGTACTCATGAGGAGTCACACTCTATTCCCTCCTCTCTCCAGTGCCTGGCACTCACTAATCTACTCTCTGCCTCGGTGAAATGACCTTTTCTGAATAGTTCATATAAATGGAGTCATGCAATATGAGGTCTTTCATGATTTGCTTCTTCACCTTGCACGTTTTCAAGGTTCAAAAATGCTATAGTGTGTCTCAGTGCTTCATTTGTCTTTAAGGTTAAATAATATTCTATTGTATGAATATGCCACATTTTGTTTATCTACTGTTCATTTGATGAACATTTGAATTTTCTCTTGTTGGCTATTAGAAATCATGTTGCTATAAACATTCACATGCAAATTTTTGTGGCTTTGGACCAACCAGTGGCATGGTATTGAATTCCACCACGATTATTATAACAAGTCCCAGACCCAGCAACTTGAAAAACATACCAGTTGCACGTGTGTCCAAAATCCCGAAATGAGAGAGAAATGGAGGAGAAAGGAGTCCAGTGTGACCCTTCCCCAGGGGGAATGCTTTCTCACATTGTTTCTCTGTCTCTCTCTCTCTGGCAAGTGCATGTGCCCTTTGGCACATTAAAAAAAATTATTTTAAAAACCTGCCAATTGTTGTGGGTACATATTTTCAATTACCTGGGAATATACATAGGAAAGGAATTGCTGAGTTTTTTACCAACATTCGTTTTCACCTTTTGAGGAACTGCCAAACTTTTCCATAGTGACTGCCCCATTTTACAATCCCAACAAATCACTCCATTTTTAAGGGCCTCTGGTTTTCATACAGGAGCACTCAATCATGAAGTCAGCATAACCTTCTGTAAAAATAAATCGTACGACTGAAGGTCACTTTCTCTTTCATCTCCATTTGCTATAAGCAAAGACTTTTTAGAGTGGCTTATATAAATCTGAGCTCGATGTTCTTTAGTTTTCTCTGCATTTCCCCACAGTTTTCCATTTTAAACTTTCCCAACCACTATTTCCATCTTCAGCCTCATAACCTCGGTGCACCATTGGTCTGCTTGGAGCCCTCCCTGCACAGGCCCTGCTTGTCCCTCAATCCCCAAGTTACACCAAAGATGCAACATTCCTTCATGAATCATGGTGAGGGTTAGAGATGGAAGCTCTGGCCCTCTGCCCTGTCCCACAGGGCTAGTGGATTGCCAGCCATAAATATGGACATTAAAGTGATTTACGAGCCTTGCTTCAAATTCAAAGGGGGAAAAAAAAAGAAAGAGAGAGAGAAGAGACAGAATAGATGATGGAAATAATCAATCTCTTCTCCTTACATTTAGTTTATCGTATTTAGGCAATTATTTACATAGCAAATGAAGAGAGAATTATCTAAGACTGAAGAGAACATTACTATTCCTCTATTTTAACATTAATCATTGGAAAACTTTTTACAGTCATTCTGATCTCTTTATTTGCTGCTTTTTTTTTTTTAACTGACATTTAGGGTATCATATGCTATATAGAAGACAGAACTAATAAACCTCTGCCCTGCACTCTCACTCACTCCCCATATATATATATATATTAGTTGCTATGTAAATAATATATATATATATATATGGACAATTTTAGGAAACTGTCATTTCTTGACATATATATATTGGTTTTTCATGACTCAAGAAATAGGATCCTACCACTGGCTGTGATTTTATAGTTTGGTGGTCCTAAAGGTTATGGTCATTTGTGTCTGATATTCAGTGGGACTAGACGTTACTATGCTCAATTTCATTTTGTTTCCGTCTCAAGTGTACAATTCAGTGGTATTTAAAGTTGTCACAGACCTGTGTAACTATCAAACAGCAAAGTCTGGGACTTGAACCGTGTAGTGGGCCACGTGGGATCCAGACACCTTAACCACCAGGCCAAAAACAGGCCTGCATTACGTAACTATCATCACTCTCTGTTTATATATTTTATTATCACCAAAGAAAAAGTTAGTACTCATGAGGAGTCACACTCTATTCCCTCCTCTCTCCAGTGCCTGGCACTCACTAATCTACTCTCTGCCTCGGTGAAATGACCTTTTCTGAATAGTTCATATAAATGGAGTCATGCAATATGAGGTCTTTCATGATTTGCTTCTTCACCTTGCACGTTTTCAAGGTTCAAAAATGCTATAGTGTGTCTCAGTGCTTCATTTGTCTTTAAGGTTAAATAATATTCTATTGTATGAATATGCCACATTTTGTTTATCTACTGTTCATTTGATGAACATTTGAATTTTCTCTTGTTGGCTATTAGAAATCATGTTGCTATAAACATTCACATGCAAATTTTTGTGGCTTTGGACCAACCAGTGGCATGGTATTGAATTCCACCACGATTATTATAACAAGTCCCAGACCCAGCAACTTGAAAAACATACCAGTTGCACGTGTGTCCAAAATCCCGAAATGAGAGAGAAATGGAGGAGAAAGGAGTCCAGTGTGACCCTTCCCCAGGGGGAATGCTTTCTCACATTGTTTCTCTGTCTCTCTCTCTCTGGCAAGTGCATGTGCCCTTTGGCACATTAAAAAAAATTATTTTAAAAACCTGCCAATTGTTGTGGGTACATATTTTCAATTACCTGGGAATATACATAGGAAAGGAATTGCTGAGTTTTTTACCAACATTCGTTTTCACCTTTTGAGGAACTGCCAAACTTTTCCATAGTGACTGCCCCATTTTACAATCCCAACAAATCACTCCATTTTTAAGGGCCTCTGGTTTTCATACAGGAGCACTCAATCATGAAGTCAGCATAACCTTCTGTAAAAATAAATCGTACGACTGAAGGTCACTTTCTCTTTCATCTCCATTTGCTATAAGCAAAGACTTTTTAGAGTGGCTTATATAAATCTGAGCTCGATGTTCTTTAGTTTTCTCTGCATTTCCCCACAGTTTTCCATTTTAAACTTTCCCAACCACTATTTCCATCTTCAGCCTCATAACCTCGGTGCACCATTGGTCTGCTTGGAGCCCTCCCTGCACAGGCCCTGCTTGTCCCTCAATCCCCAAGTTACACCAAAGATGCAACATTCCTTCATGAATCATGGTGAGGGTTAGAGATGGAAGCTCTGGCCCTCTGCCCTGTCCCACAGGGCTAGTGGATTGCCAGCCATAAATATAGACATTAAAGTGATTTACGAGCCTTGCTTCAAATTCAAAGGGGGAAAAAAAAAGAAAGAGAGAGAGAAGAGACAGAATAGATGATGGAAATAATCAATCTCTTCTCCTTACATTTAGTTTATCGTATTTAGGCAATTATTTACATAGCAAATGAAGAGAGAATTATCTAAGACTGAAGAGAACATTACTATTCCTCTATTTTAACATTAATCATTGGAAAACTTTTTACAGTCATTCTGATCTCTTTATTTGCTGCTTTTTTTTTTTTAACTGACATTTAGGGTATCATATGCTATATAGAAGACAGAACTAATAAACCTCTGCCCTGCACTCTCACTCACTCCCCATATATATATATATATTAGTTGCTATGTAAATAATATATATATATATATATGGACAATTTTAGGAAACTGTCATTTCTTGACATATATATATTGGTTTTTCATGACTCAAGAAATAGGATCCTACCACTGGCTGTGATTTTATAGTTTGGTGGTCCTAAAGGTTATGGTCATTTGTGTCTGATATTCAGTGGGACTAGACGTTACTATGCTCAATTTCATTTTGTTTCCGTAACTTTTTTTGTACTAAAGATTTCGTATTTGCATACTATTCTATTCCTCCCCTATAACTAATGTAGTCACGATTTTATTTCTTCTTGTCCTTTCCTCATGCATCTCAAGATTTCCTCAGATGTCAGTTTTAAGATTTGAGAAGTAAAGAGAGCAGAAGGTGGAAGATGACTAGGCAGATCCCATGGGAAGGTGAGGACCTGCACACAGCAAGGAGACGCATGCACGCCACGCCAACAGCCCCAGACGCAAGAACTACCCTCAGGCTTAGAAGTGAGTTTCAAATTCAAAGAACTATTTTCTTGGACGTGCTTTGAGAGATTAAACAAGAGAGGAAATTTTAAGTCTCAAGTTTATAAAATACCCAAGGTGATGTAAAAATATTATCAAAAATTGTCCAAGTTGGACACTCTTCTTGTACGTTGTGCTGAGTTTCACTTTATTTGTCCCCATGTGGAGACCACGGTGTTGCTCAGGAATTTATAGATTTTTGAGAGGAAACTGGTATTTTTTAAAAATTGGGGGAAAACCCCTCAATGTTATACTTTAGGGACCTATAGCGTCTTGGTTGCATTTTAGATTTACACATTGAAATCCCCTGCACAAGTCTCCTAGGTCTGATTTCTGTTTCCTAGGTTTCAATCGGATTTTTCATTGCCAAATTAAGATAATAGAGAACAGAAAAGAAAAACAACACCGACAAAACCCAACAACTGAAATTATCTGGTTAGGAAATATTATTTGGAAAGACCAAAGAACATTAAATTAAATTATGAGCCTCTCGAGATGATGATGGGTTAGAGAACAGTTTTAGGAAACTGTCATTTCTCTACAAAAGGAACTTCATTTGAAAATTGTGCTTTATTTCTTTCTGTAACATAATTTAAGATGAAATGTTCATGCTTTGTTCTTAATGCATGCATTATGAGTATATTTAACATGTGAGAAAAAGTGAAATCTAATTATTTAGTATCTAAAAATTGATACATAAAATATATCTTATTTTAATACTATATTGTGTGCTTATATATACAATATAGATATATACACTGTGAAAATATAACTGATTAACTTAGCAAAAATCAGGATAAAAGATGTTTCTTCTTATTTAACCACCAACTATTTCCAGAAAAAGTACATATCATTTAGGTGTCATGATACACTTGTCCAGTTTAATGTACTATGCGGTCCTCTTCGCAGATATTTATATATTTCAATCTATTTTTAAATCTTTGTTTTGGGGTAAAAGGAAGACAGGCATGCACTCTATAATATGCATATGTTTACATCCAGAGATATTCTGAATCTAAGAATGTTTGCATGTTCAGTAAATTTGCATGTGCTCTTTATTATCAAATGTCCAATCTGATCGTAGTAATGCATTGTAAATCCTACGACTTTGCCATCCAATATTATTTACCCTATCTGCTTTTTTATGAAAATAAGCTCTCTTACTGACAATGCCGGTGCTCCTGGGAGAGTCTGTACACAGGTGGTCAAATCTTCCAACCAACTTTGTCAGGAGACATTCTATTTTAGTATTCATTATTAAACGATTAATATTTCTATTTTTTTTAACTTCTGATGAGACAAATGGAAACAGTGACACTATGAGATATTTTTGAAAGCACCTATTCTTCTGGTCTTCAATACCAAATGTAGAGTAAATTCTAAAACATTTTAAAACATGTTCACAATATTACTGTAATGCATTCAAAAGGATGTGTAAAGCATATACTTCAGAATAAGCACACTGCAAAGAGAAAAAAAAAATCCTTGGTTTTGCATTCTGTCTATATATCATAAGTGAGTGTTACTCATAAAGGATTTGAACTCCCTAAGCATATGGGTCCACTTCCACCATTAAAGTGAATTCAGGTGCTTGGCATAACCGTCTCCAGACAGGCTTTCCTTACATAATTGATGGTGGTGGTCTTACTGCCCTATCGAACTATATCTGGATACACTCAGGTTGCTTTTACAAGAGTTCCATACAACTCCATGGTCTACAGAACACGTGGGAAGTATCTCATAGCTTCTTTTATTAATATAAACTATTTTCACTTTCTCCAATGACAAATTGCCTAAAATTAGTTTTTTTACACCTATTCTGATGGAACATGATGAGAAATTCATCTGTAGACCACAGCTGCGTGTTGCAAGCATTATAAAACCCTTTGGTGGTAAGGGAGGGGATTGTTACAATGCAAGGACCAAGCCGAGAAAGAGCAATTTATTTTAGTGGCAGACAGACATCCTCGTTTTCAAAAATTTTTCAAAAACATCAAAGCTCCATTGTTAATATTTGAAAGAGTCGCTATAAACTCTATTCATAAATACATTGTTTCAGTACATTATGAAAGAATGTTGGAGAGCTTCCTTTGGCCTATTACATTAAAAAACAAATCTACTCTTTTATCATTTCAGTATCCCTTGACTTCCAGAAATGTGGCAAGCATTGCACACAGCAGAAGCGATGACCAGCGGATGCTGCATTTACCTGAATCACAGCAAGCACATCTCTGTGAGTAGACAGGACCGTTACCCAGACACACACGGATGCCACACACCCTCTGTGGAATTGACACACACGTTTGTAATTTCTCTCACCTGGCACATTTAATATCATCTGGTGATTTTCCATAGATGACAACTGCCCTCCTACAAAACCTACCCAAGAAACATAATCGTCTGATTTTGGAAAAGTTGTTGAAAAGGAACTAAACCATATTTTAAAAATCAAATCTAATACTAACATCAAACAAAAGCTTTACAGTATACGTTAGAAAACCATTGAGAGATCACAAAGTCTATAAAAATTGAAAGGGACATAAGCCCTCCTTTTGATGGGCCATTAATACATTTATTAGAGAGAATTCTCTTTTTCTTTTTTTTTTTTTTTAGAGGTTTTTGCTATAGGGCACGCGAGCTCGCCAGACAGAGAGAGACCAGAGAGATAGAAAGTGAGAAATCACCCCCACCCCCGCCGGGAGGATGGCTGCGCCACAATCCCTTCTCCTCCATTCTCCTCTCAGGATCTTGGGCATGCACGCACATGCACCCAGCATGAGTTTAAGCCACCGGGTCCGGGACACGAACCATGGTCGACTACGTGTGAGTCCAGTGACATAGCCATTACGCTAACTGCTGGTCCCTAGAGAGAATTCTGATTTGACTACTACTCTTTAGAAAAATACCTCTCTCTTTCTCTCATAGAATAAATAAATAACTTTTTAAAAAAATCTGGGGCCAGTTCTGTGAGCTGGCAAACTGTGTGATTCAAATCCCAGCCCCAACAGCTTGAAAAACACACCGAGTGCATTTGTGTCCATTCCCTAAATCCCAACAGGATGAGGGATTGTGGTGTGGCCACACCCCACTGGGGCATGCTTTCTCCCTCTCTTTTTCTCTGTCTTTTTGTGATGAGCACATGGCATCCCTCTGACAAACTTAAAAAAAAAATCATACTAATAAAATCCTCAAGATGAGTTATTAAAAGGTTTTTACATAATAGTACATGTTCTGCCAATTAAATATATTAATATTTATTTACAGTATACATATTAAAATCATTTACAATGTTGAGATACAAATGAAAATTGTCGTGGATCAACAGCCCTTTTATAGCGTATAAGAGAAAGTTGTTAATGGATTGTCATCATCATAATTTTCTATATGAAGCAATCTCACAAAAATAAAAGATACAACATTAGGAGTGTCTGACCTGACTCACAGTGGTGTTTCTTGCCTATTGCTGAGACTCTGAGCAGACCTGCGCATGGAGGACACAGCTGTCTGAAGTGCCTACTGTTTTCTCTCAAAACTCGTAGTGACAGGTGTGTCTTGTCACTCTCTGGTGTCTGTTACAGGCCTGCCCTGTTTATCACTCCGAGATGAGCTCTGATGTGAGGGGCTCTGACAGTGCAGAGGATGATCAAATGCCCTTTGAACTGAGGGAGCGGAATTTATTGCCGTTAACACATTTTACAGCTTATAGGGTCATCAGCCCCTTAGCTTCTGAGACTTTTTTTCAAGTTTGACTTTGAATCCATTGATTTAGATCCCAGTGGTGACATGAAACGTAGTAGTCAGTGTTTCATTTTGTAAATTCCTTACCTCTGCTATGAAGGATCATGTTTAAAAAGGTAATCATTTTGTTTGTCCTCTCTTCATCCACTTCTGCAAGGAATAAATAGCAGCATAATTTCTACACAGTAAATTTTCTGTACTGGAGAAGAAAGAAAAAAGATGTTGTTGGAAAATGCATTTAATCAATTTTAGAATACATACATTATGAATAAAAATGTATTTTATAAGCCAAGATCAACACTTCTTAAGGTTAACTCTCAAAAATAAAATAGTAGATAAATAAAATAGTAGTAAAAAAACATTATTATGAAATACTTGAAAAATCTCATCCGCTCACGTTTTTTAATCAACTTTTGTGTCTCATGATTATGAAGACCTTACATTTGAAATACTGTAAGCCATGCTTCTGTTCGACCCCAGTCTGCCGTTAGAGGTGTTTACAACAGGTACATGTAGACAGAACCCAAGTCCTGGGGGACACTGACAAGGGCCTTTTTACGTCCTTTCTTGTACAACCTAGCTATTCAAATTAGCTTATAATCATTTTATTATTTCTAAATAGAGCTGTGTTTTGAAAAATAAAAATTAAAAAAATGACGGGTCAGCCAGTGGCACAGAGTGAAGGGAACTCCATCCCACATGGTCAACCACACAGTTCAAGTAATGCTTTCTGTGTAGAACAAGAAAAATTAAGTTGTGAAGAAAGTAAATGAAATAGCCTTAGCAGAAAATGTATGTGAGAAAAGAAATGAGTTTATATTGAAGGGTTCATCAATGAAAATGCTATTGTGAAAATGCTATTTTTCTTGTTCTAGACAGAAGTCACCTTGTATAGGTTTGGGAGAAGGATCCTGCATTGGGATTGATCGTCAAAGCATCAGAGTTATGAGTTGAATTTTGTCTCCCCTGAATCCCTGTATTAAAGTCCTACTCCTGAGTACTTTAGAAAGTGACTGTATTTGTAAATAGAGTCATTGCAGATGAGATTAGCTAAAGGGAGGTCATGTAAATAGGGTAGGTCCCCAGTTCATTATGTCTGGTGTCCTTACAAAAAAGGACATTTGGAGATAGGCATCCAGGGAGAATGTCATGTGAAGATCAAGGCAGAGGCTAAGGTGATAACACCTACAAGCCAAAGAATGTCAAGGAGAGCCAGAAAACCACGTGAAGCTATAGTGGAGACATGAAACTGAGTCTTCCCCACAGCTCTCAGATTTTAATCCTCCAAAATTGTAAGACAACATTTTTCTGTTGTGTAAGTCATGCAGCCTATAGACTTCTGTGTTATAGCAGCTTTAGCAAACTAATACACCCTATCTCCAGCCAAGAATCCAACAGCAGCACATTCTCCAAATAAAAGCAAAAGTTTACATACTTAGCAGCTTAACAAATGAAATATACAACTGTCTGATAAATTTCCTTAATATAAACCATGAGTCTGATCATTTAAAACTCTAAGCGGATTTTACTTATCCAAATTATCTAACCAGAATATGTATATTGGTATTATTTAATTATTTTGTTAAGAATTAAAATTTTCTATTGTTGTATGCTAGACCAAGTCTTATTATTTCTTTTTCTTTTTCTTTTTTGGAAAGACTTGGTCATATTTGAGATTTAACCCCAAGTTATTTATCACCATGAGAATAAGACAGTAAGGAATGGGGGGGGGTTGAAGAGAAGAGGATAGAGAAAGATAGCAAGAGAACAAATAGAGAGACAGGACGTCAATGGGAAACAGATATGGCTTATTACCTGTTGATGATGACGTGTATAATACTCTCAACTGGATTGGTCTGAGAAGTATTTCATGATAGGTAAAGTCTTTTTACAAGCAAAATGAGAAATAGTGATTGACAGTTTAAAAAAATAATAATTAGAATAATAACAATAATGATTGGGAAAACCATAGAAAAGATATTGAATGATGAAGCGGGGATATTAATGTCTCTGTATTGACTGACATGCATGGCATTCCCTTCTGAAAAAGCAATGTAATACACTGTAAAGTTACATAAAAACCAAGTTATTTATCACCAAAAATGTAAACTTACATAAATTATGATAGTTTGAAAGAATACATTACACTCATTAACCCCTTTACTATATTTCCCATCCTTTTCTCAAAAAAAAGGAGCCAGCTTCCACCCCAACTCCCATACAGGAAGTGCTCTGGTGAGATACGCTAGCTTTCCTAGTCAATGAGTTCGAATTAGCCTTTTATATTTGTAACTCTCTGCAGCTTTGGCCGTGTTTAATTGGTTGAACAAGTCTTCTCAGATACTGAATGATTTTGAACTTAGGCTTGTCTTCTGTAGTGTTTTTTGTTTGTTTTGTTTTGTTTTGTTTTGCAGTCACAATAGCATTTTCTTTTATAAGCCTATTCATATAAACTCATTTCTGTTCTCACATATATTTTCTGCTTAAGCGATTTCATCTACTTTCTCACAACTTAAATTTTCTTGACTCCAGATCTCTTACTCCACTAACCTCTCTGAATTCCACATACTCATCACTAGTTACTTTCAAAATTCACATTCAGCATTTTCCCAGGGAAATTGATCACTTTACACAACCTTTTCTTCTCTTCTGTCATGCACCTAGGTTAGAGGTACCTCCAGCCTCATTGTTACGCAGGACCTCAACCTAAGTGATCTCTGATTTTCCCTTTCTAACCTTAAAAGCCCTGATAATAGCTATGAGGAATTCTTACTACTATCTCATTATTGAGAAATTATCTGTAAGTTTGTCATCCTTCACTCTCCAGGTTTAATAGATCAGGGATACACTGACAGTCTGACCAAACCAATGCATTGACGAGCTACCACCTAACATGTTGGAGCAGTTGGAGTCCTCCCTGACAAATTTTCAAAAAGGAAACTTCCTGATGTTGAAGCTGTAGAAGTGTGAGATCAGGATACTCAGCAGACGTGTCCCACTGCCCCATTCTCCTGCACCTGCCAGCAACTAGAGCTGTTACGTGAAGGGAGGAAGAGATGAGGTAGAAAGAGATGGGTAATGCTAGCACCTCAGATCTGGTCACCCTTGAGGCCAGATATAGTCCTTTCCCATTCTAGGTTTGTTACCTGAGCTAGTATTTTCACCTCTGTAATTGGCCACAATGCCTAGACGATCACCCCATGCATGATTTGATTATGTCACTCTGCTTGAAGGCATTCCATCATTCTCCACCACCTACAGAATAGCAATATCTTAGTGTCATACCTGTGAGATACTCCAAGCCCTACATAAAAATTCACATCTCCTACAAGCATTTCCCTCCCCTCTATGTTATAAATTCCAGCCTCCCATTATCTGTTAGCTCATTCACCTACCCACCCAATTGAGTAGCTCAGCACACATTTTTTTTTCTCCAGTAAATTAAGATCATGGATATCCAAGTCCCATATTGTATTC